AATACAAAAAGTACAGAACTTTTCTATAATTTAGGCTGAGTTTTGAAGATCCTGTCTCCAAGTAAAACAAACCCCACTAGTAAGTACCAGTTGAAAATGAGGCCCATTTAAAATGGAATACCCTACATTAAAGGATGTGGAAGTTGGTCTATAAATATATTTACCATGTACATTGAACTGCATTTAAATAGATTTCAAAGGAACTCAGATTTCATCCACTGTAGCACACTTTCTATAAATCTGGAAACAGGAGAGTCTGGGAGATGAAATGATTTCTTAAATACTAGTTCACAATGTTGCAAGGGCCTAATCAAGAAGTGTCAGGATTGTGCCTCCCTTCCCCCCATTTTCAGTTTTGTTTCTAACGTAAGCTCACATTTGACATGTTGGCTGATTTTAACATGTATGTTACAGTAATAAATTCAAGGACTTCCATTATTGTCAATTTAGTCATTTTTTAGTAAAATTATACCTACATATTTTAAATGATAAATAGCTCTATAAACCTTACTTTGAATTGATAGATAGCTCTATAAACCTTACTTCGAATTAAGATGTTTATTTTTAGAGAGAGAAAGCAGGGGAGGGGCAGAGAGAGGGAGACAGAGGATCCGAAGCCAAATTTGCACTGACAGCAGAGAGCCAGATGTGGGGCTCAAACTCATGAACTCATGAGATCATGAGCTGAGCCAAAGTCTGATGCTTAACCAACTGAGCCACCCGTACTCCCCTGAGCCATTGTCTTTTGAATTTCCATAATGGAAGAGCTTTCTTTCACCTCACTCCCCTCTCTCCATGCTCCACACTGTTACACTTTTGTTTTGGTTGCATCAATATTCACTGTTTGTCATTATGACTCTGTAAATACTAATCACAGTTTGTCATGTGTACTAGCATTCCTTTTCCTTTCTTTATTGAATTTATTTTCCTGAATTCAAAAATTGCCTTTTTTTTTTTTTTTTTTGGCTTGGTTTTCTATTTTAGTACTAATCTATAGCCAAACTTGTCTCCCAGTTATATAACCTTCTCTCAATACAGTCAGGCATATTGGGTATCCTAAAAAAATTCTTTTTGAAGAAATCCCTCCTAGAGCCTTCTGTCCACCTCCAGTCTGGACTGATTGCTCACTAGACATGCTGCACAGGTATCTTTTGGGGCCCATCCTTCACAACTGTCCTGGGAATCCCGTTTCCAGGGACCCATGCCTTTCTCTATTTGGTGGGGCATGTTTTTCAGAAGATTCCTGAGAAAGGATACAGAGAATGGGTACATGGTAGCAGGATGACTGTCAGATAAGACTTTGGGTGTGGAGCAGTCTTGATACTCTGAGTATCTGCCAATATCTTCATTCCTCACATTTAATTGATAGTTTGGTTAGGTATAGAATCGTAGATTGGGAATCATTGTCCCTCAGAAATTGGAAGGCATTGTTTCATGATCCTTGTTACACTACTAGAGGAAGTTTTGAGGTTTGGGTTGAAACCCTAATAAACTAGGGTTCTTCACCAGATATTCTGGAACAGTGTAGAACAGAGCACATGGCATCATGCAGAGCAGCAGCCTTTAGGGCCTCGCTTTCATAGGCACACCTCCCAAAATGTTGCTGTTGATTTCTCCATTCTCTTTGTCCTGTAAGTTTATATTCAAAATAAAACAAAAATCCTTTACTTTCATTTTAATGATTTTGAGGACGAAAAATAGAGGTAAATTAATATATTCACATCTCCATTTTTGTATTTTCTGTAATGTTTTGGCCTTAAGCATCAAATTCCCACAGTCATTTTAAACATTTTCACTAATATATTTGATACAAATAGCCACCCCATAATACCATTATCCATCTTTTCCTTGGGGTTAAGCCCCTAAGGTATTGTGCTACAACAGTGCATGTTCTTCCACCAAGGACTTTTTTAAAGACTTGATGGAGATGAGGAGCACCTGAGAAAGATCCTCTCAAAGCAACCTTTGGGGATAGAGTCAAATCTTGTTCACCATCACTGTAGCATCTGGATGTGTTTGCATTTGTTATTTCTGATTTCTTTTTTGGTTCTGGTGTTCAACTCTGATCTGTGCTAGAATTGGTCCACTAGGTGGCTTCAGGCTCCGGTTCAGTTCAGACCCTGGCTCTCACCCTGTACCTCCGAAACATCCATCCCGGGTACTCCCTGATGAGCTTCCCCTGAAGCCTGAGCATTTACTTTATGATCATTTTTTTATAATAACTCACTCTACAAAATTTAAAAAAAAATTATGAGGGGCACCTGGGTGGCTCAGTCAGTTAAGCTGACTTAGGCTCAGGTCATGATCTCACAGTTTGAGTTCGAGCCCCACATTGGGCTCTCTGCTGTCAGCGCAGAACCCACTTCTGATCCTCGTGTCCCTCTCTGTCTGCCCCTCCCCCACTCACTCACTCTCAAAAATATTAAAAAAAATTTTTTTTCAACGTTTATTTATTTTTGGGACAGAGAGAGATAGAGCATGAACGGGCGAGGGGCAGGGAGAGAGGGAGACACAGAATCGGAAACAGGCTCCAGGCTCTGAGCCATCAGCCCAGAGCCCGACGCGGGGCTCGAACTCACGGACCGCGAGATCGTGACCTGGCCGAAGTCGGACGCTTAACCGACTGTGCCACCCAGGCGCCCCTCAAAAATATTTTAAAAAAACAATGAAAAAAAAATTTTATGATACATTCGAGTGAAGTTTCAGTATGCAACACATTCAAGGAATTTTCGTGATTTGTAATGATTATGCACAATGGAAAAGCAGTGAAATATTATCTGTTTTTACCAGAGGGACCATCAAGCTTGTGTTTCCTTTGTGGTGGTAGAAATAACTCAAAAGACTAGCAAGTATACATGTCTACCCATATGTCATCATTTTTTATTTTAACTTACCACATAGAGTTACAGCTTTCATTTCCATAAGGATGCCTGTAACCCAGCAAGTTACTGTTCCTGCAAACCTCGCCTGACTTCCATTGTCTGCCAGATCTTTTCAGTTTGGTCTGCTTTATTTCTGTGCCAACACTTTTCTTTATAAACATGAATTCTATCTTTAGTGACACTAAGGTACATGAGTATTTCTCATTTTCCTGAATGTTATTTCTAAACCCATATAGCTTTTCGGGGAGGAGAAAGATATAAGGGGAATCCATGCAGGGTTTGTTGAGTATAGCTTTGTTGAGTATAGCACAAAGCAATTTGTTAGGGAAAGCACATGTCTTTCAGAAGGACATGAGCCAGGACTTTTCTGGAATAACTCTTCCCCCAACTCCCTCCCAGCCACTCTAGATATGAAGGCAGTTGTGTTTCTGCAAGTTTCAGTTTTCAGAAATTGGAGTCCAGGCCAAGTTGAACCAGGAGAAGCTGTGGTCCATCCCAGTGCTGACACCCACACCTAAAGGTGCTCAGTCTGGGATGTATCCCCAGGGCATGAGGTGGAGTAAGGAGGCTGTTTGCCTGTAGAGAACACGGCTCTTCCTAATGAGTGGAGCTGTGGGTGGGGTCTGAGCAGCATGAAGTACCTTGTAGAGTCCGATGTGCCCATTTCCAGAGTTTCAAAAAAAGAAAGCAAGAGTTATGCTAGAAGATGCAAAGGTACTGTGGGTGCCTGATGTCATTAAATCTCAAGGATGTTAAGCCCATGAGCAGTGAGTCTCCTGTGTAGCATACCACAACCTCTGGCCAACTTGGTTTCATCCGTGATGATAACCAGTGGTAGTTCTCCTGGCTCTTTATCTGAACACTCCATGACTCATCATCCCACTGACCAATATTTCTGAGAGCTTACTGTGTGCCTGGCACTCTGTTGAGCAAACCCAGGGACACACCCTGCCCTCGTGGAACTTATAGTCCAGCTGGGAGTCAGATGTAAATATCCATGAAGATAAATGAAAGAGAGGTACGTCGAGAAGAACTAGTGGTCTGACAAAAATAAGCACACGTGACTCCAGTTCTCCACCCAGATGTCTGGTATTACGCTTCTCAGGGAACTATCAGCTGCCCTCAGTGGATCCAGAAGGTTGTATTGGTTTAGGCTCTTGAAAAATACTCCATGCTTAACAAGGAAATATTTCAGAAAGCATCCAGAAGAACAGAAGAAAAGTAATGTTAAAAATGCAAATAACTATACTTTCAGATACAAGTGTTTCTGTTGACAAATTTTGCCATACCTGGTTCATTCTGACACTGAAGTAGCCTTATTAAAGGACACTGTTTTGGCTGAAATTATACACTTTAGTGTCATCTAATGGAGAACCCATATGCTTGTTGGGGTATTAGGTGGAAAGAAGTGTTTTCTTTTATTAAAAAAAAGCCAAAGTTGGGGTCCCTGGGTGGCTCAGTTGGTTAAGGTCCCACTCTTGATTTTGGCTCAGGTCAAGATCTCCCAGTTCATCAGATCGAGCACCACATCGGGCCTGGAGTCTGCTTAAGATTCTCTCTTCCTCCTCCTCTGCCCCTCCCCTGCTCACTCGCTTTCTTTCTAAAGAAAAAATAATAATAATTAAACATGCTGAGGAAAGACACCAAACTACTATAATCATGCCCAAACAATTCCCTAATTAATGGATATATATTATAGGATGAATACAGGGTAGGGAGGCTCCACCTTTCTCGGCTAAGGTTGCTACCAACATGACAGACAAACTTCAGTTCTTCCTGCCTATTTGATCTGTGGGAATTGTCCAGAATCAGATGCCATCATGGGCCTCTGCACAGACTATTCGTTCTGGGAACGTCTCCAACAAAGTCGTTGTAAGTGGCCCAGTAGTGGTTTGGGTGGACCAGGAGGGTGACACAGAATGCATGGTCAGACCATTCTCTAAAAATGCCTCAATGGGGCTCCTGGGTGCTTCAGTTGGTTAAGTGTCTGACTCTTGGTTTCTGCTCAGGTTTGTGAGTTGAGGTTTGTGAGTCGAGCCCTGCATCAAGCTCTGTGCTGACAGTGCAGAACCTGCTTGGGATTCTCTCTCTCTCTTTCTCTCTCTCTCCCTCCCTCTCCCTGCCCCTCCCCTGCTCGTGCTGTCTCTCTCTGTCTCTGTCTCTCAAAAATAAACTTAAAAAAATTTTTTAAAGATAAAATTAAAATGCCTCAGTGACAGAAGCACCATCAACAGCAGAAGCAAATATTTACTGAATTTGATCCAAGCGCCCAAACTGAGGAAATGTGAACACTGGGAAAGAAGGTTCTAGTTCAAACTTCCTAGACTTTTTTTTTTTTTTTTTTTAAGAAAACAGACATCTCCAAAGAGACTTTTATGTTCTAAGGGACAAACAAAATCGTAGTAAATTAAATGTGTACGGTTTTTTCAGCTAGCACATTAACTATATAGTTAATGTGATGTCTCCAAGCAAGGTGGTTGGCTCTCTTTACATGCTAGAATAATCAATGATTTATGTACCTGACCATCTTTTCATAATCCTTTACACAAGCATGTGTATTTATGACTGTTTTAGAAAACTTTGAGGATAATTTTACTATTGAAAGGGATTATAAATTTTTTGCCATTGTGACTGTGCTTGTTTAAGCATATCTAAAATTCTTCTGAAGTCAAATACTTTTGCAGCTAGAACAGTGAGGCATTGTGGCAAAATAGGCTGGGGGGCTTGCCAGGTTACATTTGCTAAAAATGGGACATGTGTTTATTTGGTCCCTCAAGGTTGGAACTCAGAAATCACCTTATCCAGTGATTGTCAACAGGGGCACTGATGCCATATTGAGTGTGATCATTTTCCATTGTTTAGGACTATCTTGAGCATTGTCAGGGGAGTCAGTACTCCTGGCCCACCTGCACCAAATGCCACTTGAATCATCTAGAAATTTGGACAACAAACGCCCACAATGGGGTGTGCCATGGGGGACTGCCCTTGGGTGAGAAACACTGATCAATCCAATGACCCATGAATGGGCTGCACAGGTCCCCTTCCACCATCCTCTAAAGATAACAGGTCAGCCCGGCTCTTCTGCCATGCACCCACACCTCCAGTGATGAAGAAATCACCACCTCCTAAAGCCACATTTGAACTCTACTCATTATTAAAATGTTATTTTTTATGACATAACTCCCCCCCCCCCTCATTTCCATCATTAGCCTTTGGTCTGTAACACAGACCTCTTTGTTTCTCATCCTCTTCCACATGAATGCCCTTCAGTCTTTGAGAGTAGCCATTGTGTTCCTCCTGTCCCATGACAACCTCCCACCCCTCCTGGAAACTTGCTGTGTCATTGTACATGGTTTTGCACTTCATGGCAAAGCACTTTTTGTATTACCTCATTTAATTTTCACACCATGATGTAGGGGTGATCATTTCCTCTTCAAAGGGAATGAAATGGAGTTTCAGACCCAATGACTGACCCAAGGCTGCACTGTTGGTCATTGGTCAAGCAGGAACATGAATCTAGTTCTTATGCAAATTCAGTACCTGTCACACTTCTCCCAGTGTTCACTAAATTTTGTCCAGTCTCTCCCTTTCCAATGCCTTCTTTATTTCCATCTCCACCTCTGCTTGTCTCCCATCATAGAAGGCATGATGGCCCCAATTTTTTACCCTTTTTGTATTTGCATCCTTTACCATATTGCTTTGCATTTCTTCCTAGCAACAGGTGGAATATATTTCTCAGCTCTTGATTTTGGGTTCAATAGAATGAAGTGAAAATGTCATTATACCAGTTCTGAATTTAGGCCTCAAGAAGCCTTGTATGTTCCCACTTGTTCTTTTGCATTTCTGCCTTCATTAGACACAAGGAGCAGAGCCGCCTCAGCTGTCCTATGTAGATTAGCTGACCCCCCAGCCAACCCAGAGGCTTGCAAGAAAAAAACAATTGGTTTTATTTAACCTATTGAGTTTGGAATTATTTGTTATGCAGCCGTTGCTAACTGATACATTTCTTCAACCTTCAGAAAACAAAGACTTCCCTTTACCCACTGTTTTTCTTTCCCTCATTACTTGAAAGCCTGTACTAGCTTTCTTAACATCTTCATCTTTTGTTTCACAAACCACTGCTACCTTCTGCTCCACTCTCCCTGTGAGAAGGGGCCCCCAACTTCTAATGGCCAAACACTACGTGGTCCTGACAGCCTTTAGCGCCTTGAATCATCCTGCCCTTCTGTAACTGCTTCTTTGGTTTTCATGACACTTCCTGTGTTTCTCATCTCTCTTTTCTCCTGTCAGGAGTCTCCTCTCTGCCCTTGTTGCTTCTTGCTTTCCTTCTCTCTCCCCAGGGACCCTAGCCTCTCTCATGACTTCAAGGACCACAAAAGTATCGACAGCTGTTTGTAACCCCATGTCTCTTCAACATTCCAGCCGTGTGTGCATGTCTGTTTCACAGCTCCTGCAGGGGGTACTGATGGCTTCACACAGGAAATGATTGCAGGTGGAGTGGAGGAGGAGTGGCATAGGAAGAGATCGATCAGTGGTCAGGACTCCAGACCAGAAGGTACTGCAAGAATCCAGGCAAGAGGTGATGTGGCCAGGCTCAGATGTCAGAGTCACCAGAAACCCTTGATTGAGCACCTGTGCTTCCTCCTGCAAAGCTGCAGTTTTGTTTTTGGACTCAGGTACAGGACTTCACATTTATCCTTCTTAAATCTATTCATGGTTAGCTTTGGCCCAGTACTGCAACCTGTCACACTCCTTGTTAATTCTATTATACCCACTTAATTAGGCATCCCTCCTGGACCGATGTCAATCAGTCATTTGGTCAATGTGTTACTTGTATCCTACTCAAGGCACAGATAACACTGAAAAGAAAGGTTCTGGCAGGAAGAATACAGCAATACCTGTTATTTGTTTTAGTTACCAAATGGCTGCATGACCCAGAAATTGACGCAGGTGTGGCTGGTAAGTGAAACTAGAATTTGAGTATTATTGGATGCTTGGAGATTTGGAATTGGGGGGTGGGGCAGAGGAGCATGGAGGGGGCGTAGAAGGACAGTATGACTCACTGGAACTGTATATGGTTGTAGCATCAGCCAGCAAGGAGTAGGAGGTTGGCAGGGGAGAATGACACCAAGAAGGGCTTTTGGAACACTTCTGTGGTGCAATAGGGAGCCATAGAAGGTTGTAACAGGACAGAATCATATTTGTACCCTTATACAATCACTCCAGCATCAGTGTGGAGAATTCATCCGTGTGGAGTGATGGCTGGTGGTTGGATCAAAATGAGAAACGATGAGGATATGAGCAAAGGTGACATTTGTAGGGAATGAGAAGAGGGGAGAGAGAATGTGACTGAATTGAGCAGAAAGAGGGCAGAGTTGCAGGGAGTTAGCAGGATCAGCCTAGAGGTGGTGCCACAGGAAGTAATAGGGGAAAGACACAAGTGAAATTATGATTCATAAAGAATGAATGGGCCTTTCATTCAAAAATACTGATTGAAAAAATGTACATATCAAGTCAGCACTTTCTACGTTCCAGTCACTGAGCTAGACTCCAAGGATGTGTCTGTGAAGAAGACAGACATTGCCTGGCTCCAGGAGGTCTGCGACCTGGTGTGGGAGGCTCCTGGTGTGCTTGGGGAAGACCCAGGCAGATATTTAAGCTGGGGGTTTGAAGGATGGGGTCAAGAGGCAGCCAGACAGAGTATATGCTGGAGAATAGCTTCAGGCGAAAGTGACAGCCTAGAAGGGGAAAGCCCAGGGCAGGAACTGACAAGAAGCGGGGTTTGCTAGGACCTCCTGGGAGCCAGACCAGGCACCCGGTGCTTGGAGGACAGTGGCAAGGGCTTGGGTGTGCTTCTGAGTGTCCAGGGAAGCCATCGGAGGTTATGGGGCAGGGGAGGGCCGGGGCCAGTCTGAACTATGAGAAGTTCCCCTGGGAAGTGCGCGGAGAGCTGCCCCCCCCCCCCCCCCCCCACACACACCGCAGCAGCAGCAGCTGCGGTCAGGGGCAGGGCCATGGCGTGGCCTCAGAGAAGCGTTCAGGCCGGGCAAGTGATTGGGGAGTAGAAATATGAAGGGATGGACTGGGGGTGAGAGGACGGAGAGGAGTCACTCAGGACCTGGTAGGCTGCTGGTGTGAGCAAGTGGGGGCGTCGAGGGGGCGCTCGGGAAGTCACCGGCTCTGCCTCGGGGTCCTAGTGCCCATCCAGAAGAAGGAAAGCTTAGCCGCTTGGAGATCAGACAAGGGGTCTGGGTCCGCAGTGATGGGGGTCACGGGCATGCACATGGGGGTGTAGAGGTAGAGGAGGGTATATGGGGCCATTCAGGAGAGGAGTGGTCAGAGAGGAGGTGTGGAGGGACAGTGGTCACAGTCTCCCTTGTCCTGGAGCGTGGAGGGAGAGAAGGGCTGACAGTGGAGAGGGTTCTGGCCGCCGGTCAGGCACTGTGCGTGAATGAATTCCACCGCCAGCAGCCTCGGCGCATCCTGGATGGCCCTTCTGTGGTGAATTGACTCTCACAGACTCCTCTCCTTGGCACTGTTGGGGGCTGCAGAGAGGAGCTCTGAGGAGAGGGCAGCATCCAGCCTGGGGAGGAGCTGCAGGGACACTGGGGCATCGTCTCCAGCGAGGTGGCCCGTCAGCTCCTCACTGGCTTCCCGCAGGCAGCTCACACCAGATCCCAGCTCCTCTCCATGAGGCCAGGGCCAGATCCTGAGCCTTTCCCGACAGCGATGTTGGGTGAAGTCCTGCATGCCCTCCTTGCCCTGGCCCTCTCCTCCAGGCGCTGGTTTCCTGGTGGCTCAGGCTGTGTGCCACTCGAGGACACAGACGGGCACAGCCAACTGCCAACTGAAAACCTCCAGTCTGCTTGGAAATGTCCCCTGTCAAGGTGAAGGGCAGCCTGGTGCTGCCAGAGGCCACCAGGTGGCTGCGGGCACGCCCTCCTCCTTCCTCCCACACTGCAGGCAGCACAGAGTCTCATTCACACAGATAGGCCAGGTCATGGCCCTGTGAATGCCATGCATCGCCCCCAGAAAACGGCAGAGGCTTCTTCCCCCACAGCAGGAACAGCAGTCTGCAGTTAGGGCCTCGCCTCTGTTCCTGAAGCTGGCGTCTGGACCAGGGCCTCTCCAGGATGGGGCTGGGGAAAGAGCCAGGCCTAGCTCGGAGGTCAACCACCTTTTGTCCCAATGGCACTTTTTCAAAGGTATGTCAGCCTGGTCTTTAATGGAAATACCAAGCCTCTTAGTGAGCAGCTCTGGCCCACAGAGCTTACTTACTGCATGAGACACAGACTCGGATCGATGTCACCATGACTGGGTCTGGTGGACACCTAGAAAGAACTTGGGGCCATCAGGGAGGAAGGAGTACAGACCCAGCAGCCCTCAACCCTCACTGAACAAACGGAGGAGGCTGAAGGGGAGGAACATGGTGGTTTCCCCCTGAGCCTCCACAGCTACAGGTAACATAAGAATACACCTGAAAATGGGGTGAAGGACTGGGTGTGTTCTGAGGCCCCAACTACAGCAAGGAACGGGTGGCTTCCTCCGCACGTGGACTTCCGTAACCCCCCCAAATCAGTGCGATTGGCCCCTACTTTTCTTGAGCTCCAGATTCATTTGTCCACCTGCTGCCCAGAGTCTCCATGTGGAGATACCATACCAAACTATCCAGAGCTGCCCTCACCGTCTCTCTCACACGATTCTGTCCCTTGGGTGGGCACATGGCCACAGCCACAGGCCTGTGAGGTGCCCTCGTCCTCGCCCTTATCTTCCAGAAATGGCACGGAACTAGGTGTGGTCGATGTTAAGTCCTGAATGTCTCACAAGTCCTGTAGCTTCTGCCTCTGGGCTGTGGGTTTGAATCCCACTCAGCCATGTGCTCCCTGTACCATCTTGGGCAAGTTACCCTCGCTCTGCCTCTGTTTCCGCATCTGTAAAATCAGGGTAATCAGCACACGCCTCCTACGGTGGTTTTGAGGACTGAGTTTTGTACCTCCTGAAGCGTCTAGAGCAGCAGGCACTAAGTCAGCAATAGCTGCCTTGATGATGGTATTAAACCCTTAGGACAGCAGTCAAGACTCCCCTCCCGGCCCCCTCCACACATCCACACCTGACACACAGGGCACGCACTTCATCATTCTCTGACCGTGCCATGCTCCAGGGCCTGTGGCTCCTTGTGCCTGGATTGCACACAGCAAACCTTTTCCCCAGCTGGCAGTGAGCCCCTGAGGGCCACTGAGGGAGAAGACAGGGAAGCACCTCCTGAGCTGGCTCGTGACTCACAGGTCACCCACGTTAGCGCCTTCACTTGCAAAACCTCGCTGTGAGGCAGGTCTTCTTTTTGCCTTGCGTTTTGGGCAGGAAACTGCAGGTCAGTGATTCTTCAGCTCCAAGAGCTGGTCGTGGAGCTGGAATCAAGTCCAGGTGTGTGGCCTTCCGCACCGTCCGTGTGGCCTTTCACTGACTGTGCAAACCTCTCATGTCATTTAAGGGGAAAAACTAGAGGTCTTTGAGAGAGAGAGAGGACACGAAGAGGATGTGGAAACAATTCCCTCAGTGGTGGGTTTGCAATGTGTCCATTTAGCTAAGCCGAAACGCGTTTCCAGGACTAATGAATTTGGGTCTCAAGTTGTCAGAGCTGCGAGGAGAAGCCAAGTGGCAGCCACATGTACCCTGGCAAGGTTTCTCTGAATCTGGGATCAGCCTGGGGAGCTCCCCAGTGAACTGCGCTGTCCCGTGGCCAGCCCCCATTCTGGAAGATGGAGGGCTCGGAGTAGCTCCACGGACTCCAGTGCTTCCTCATGGGTTCCCACTTTCAGTCGGCCTTGACCTGCCCTGCTGACTCAGGGACAGTATACGAGGCCTAACCCCTCTGGCAATCCTGCTGTGTCCCTCTGTGGTTGGTCCAGAATTAGTTCAATGGACATTGGGTTACATGGGTAAACAAGTGGTTGAATAAATCAATGTTTTGGTTGCTTTGCAATTCAAATTGCAGGAGAACTAAAACTAAGGGAAGTCATGTTTTCCAACCTCTCCTAAAGGACAGATTAACGTATTTAACATGTTCTCCCCAAAGTCCCCCATGGTCACGGCTCTTTAAAGTAACATAGATGGCTCACGGTGTAGTGATTAAATCACAATCCGTATGAGTTGATGTTAAAGGGGTTGTGAATTTTTATGTGGTTTTGTGACTTTATTTTAGGGTGTTGGTCCTCATACATCCTCCTCCACGGGAGGGGCTAGGTGATCCCCACAGGAATCAGATGTGCGTCCATCAGACTTCTGCCTCGTGGCAGCCCTGTGGCTCTGGGCCACAGAGGAATCTGAGATGGAAGAATGGCCGGCTGGGCAGCAACCACTCCTATCAGGAAATCTAAGCCAACGTTACATCCAACTGAAAAAGCAAGCCAAGAGAACAAAAGCAGGTGCAGAATTACAGTCTGAAATTAATACCTGCATGCAGTCAAAGGGTTGTTCAAAATTCTAGATTGAATTCCCTATCCTGTAGGTCTCATTTGACCTTCCAAACATCAGACGACCAAGCGGAACAAATTTGCCCCCCTTGAATGAATCTAGCTTTTGAAGTCTTTCCACTGAGTTATCCTGCAGCTCTGGAATCCAGGATTCCCTCTTTTTCCTTGGGGGCCGTGAAGTGAAGTTATCTGTCCCCACCCTGGGAAAGCCAGAGAGCAGGTCTGCCTTGTGATGCATCCTCCTTTCCAAAGAGACGGACTTTGGGAGCAGACCTAGCCTTAAATCCCGGCTCAGTTGCTGGCTGTTTGACATGGAGTACGTTCCTTACCCTTTCAGTCACTGCGTTCTCCTCCACGAGGTGACGTTATCTGTAGAGGCCTAGTGCAAGCCAGGCTTAGCATGTTGTTTTACTATGCTTTCGTTATGGTAGCAACATAAAAGCACTTTCCAGATTTCAAAAATAAAATGATAGCCTTGTTCACATCCATCTTCAGTCTTTTCAGTCTTCTTAGGAAGACCAAATCTAGCTTCATCTGTTTCAGACCTTTGTCCACCAACAGGCCCTGACTACAGCATCCGAAACCTTCCTGGAAGAACAAAATGTTGGCGATTTCATGCCAAACGTACAGTAATGTTTTGGATAAAATGGGGGAAAAAAGGTGTAAAATCTTAGTTTTGGCTCATATAACTAGACTAGAAAGATCTGTAAGTCTATTTGGAAACATCTGTCTTTTCATATTAAAAAAAAGTGCGACTCTCCTATTTCATTTTCTGTTACATTATGATCTCTTCCAGGTCTTGTGTAATTTCCAGACTGCACTGTGGCTCCAAGCAGCTTTGTATCACACAGACCAGTTGGCTGGTGACCGAGGCTCTGAGAGGCTCACCTGCTCCTCCCTCTCCCTGGCAGATATGCCCCCCCAGAGCCGCCAAGGAAGAGAACCCAGAGAGGCCGGCGATTGAGAAAGCTTGCACCAGGGCTGTGTGCACTCGGCCTTTTCTCCAGGGGTAATCCTAACATTTGGGCAGATGCCTGGCTTTAGCCAAGAGCCTCGTCCAAGAACATCATGATCTCAATCCTTGCTGGCTCACTCTGCCTTTGGCCCCCCAGGAGCCTCCCAGGCGGCAGCAGGGAAGGGCACAGAGTATTTCCTGACACCCTGGGCCTCTCCTGGTTCCCAGCTTTGAGGATGAAAGAGGGAGGAGGAACAGAGTTTGGCCTCAGGCCACCAGGGGCTGGTACCCCAGGGCTAGCTCGTGCTGTCTGGGAGAGTTAAACTGCTCAGAGCCTCAGTTTCCTCAAGTATGAAATGGGAGTGGCTCTGGCTGACGTGTATTTAGTGCCAGGCAGGCGGTGCTCTGTCAGTGGCAGCCTCACTTGGACAGTGGGACAGCAACAAGGCTGTGCAGTTAGTCAAGTGCAGGGGAAGATGCTGTGGGGCCTCTGGGCAGATTGAGCACCGCCTAGAGGCCAGCCCGCCCTCCACCTGGGGCTTTCCCTGTTGGGAGTGACAGGAACACAAACCAGGGACATGCAGAGGAAGGAAACTGACCAGAGTGTGTGGCACCTTTTTATTTAGTCAGTCTTTATTTAAATGTGTGTTTTGAAATAGCTTATTAAATAGGATCTTCTCCAAGTTCAATTCTCACAATATTTACAGTGAATTTTGTGCAAACATATTTTGACTGTGAGCTTCTTGCTCCCCCCTTTCACGTTAATAATTTACAAATTTGTCTCACACAAAACCCCATCTACTTCATTCATGGCCTCTTAGGCTCTAGTTTTCTGTTTGACAGGTACTGATCTAGGGTAAGGATTTGTTGGCCAAGAGCTAATTCATGCCCAGAGGAAAGAAAACATTTTATTTATCAAAAAAGAATTACAACAAGGCATTGCTTTCCAAATGGAAACATGTGTCCTAAGATGTTGCAGAACAGTATTAGCAGCCAAATAAATTTCCAATGATTATAGGGCTTCTCTCTCTCTTTTTGAATGTTTACAGTCCTCTCTTTGAATCAAATAAGCAAAATCAGAAAAGTCAAATTCTAGGAGAGCCTGGACTGTCTGGGAATGTTATAAAAATAAGCTGACTTCAGTCAGCTAAAGAACGAAGGTCCTCGAATGCGCGGCCGGGTGGGGGTGGCCGTCCGCGCCGGCACTGGCCAGAGCTGCTGTGCGAGGTCCCACAGGCCCCTCTCCGTTGGCCTCAGGACTCCACGCTGGGCCCAGAACCACATGGACCTGTGCCCCTGCCAAGAAGGGTGGACCCCTGCCAGGTAATCCTTCACATACAAAAGCGACAGAGGGCACGGAGCCCAGAGGAGGATCCCTGGAGAGGCATCCTTCCCTCTTTGGTGGAGAAATGTCCACTGAAGAACACGGCACACGGTGTCGTATAAAGTGTGGGTCCTGATGGAAGGCGACCCCTCACGATTTAGAAAGATACGAAAAATACACATTAATCATTATACCCCTAATGTCTTGCAGATATAGCTTTAAGATTTCATTCCATACACTTGAGGTCTAAAAACAAACCATAACCTTTTTTGTTGTTGGCCCATGCCTTTTTTTTTTTTTTTTAAAAAGAACACAAATTAAGTCCCTTAATCATACGGGTATGCAAGAGAATATTTGAGACCAAAATTTTGTAGGGTTTCTACCTTGTTGCCGAAAGCTTTGATGGGAAATCAGAGTGGCAGCTAATTAGAAAATAATTATAAAGATAAAAAAAGATAACTTTTGGTCATTTAAGAGTTTTTTGCACACATTTACTCATTTGCCCTTCCAATGGCAAGTTCCCTTCTTTATAGAAGCGGGTCTCACCCTCTAGACCCACAGTTTTGTACATGCCAGGCATCCCAGTGCGTGATTCCTACTCTAAAACAACTTTCACCACAAAAAAATTTTCCCATAATGACAATGAGGAACAGTTGAATTATTCCAAACATTCCCTAACTCTCCAGGAGCCTGTGTGAAACAGCAGTGCCCCCGGCCTCACCATCTGTGAGCAGGTCCTACCCACGGGTCCCCAAGTCCCTGTGACTCCTGCTGATGCATCCTCCCTTTGCTAGGCGGGTCCCCCACTAACCGCTAACCAGGCTGGAGGTTGCAGGGGGTGCCCCAGGAAGTCGGGTGCTGAGGAAAGCCACTGCGACAGGGCTCGGACAGTGAGGGAGAGGGGGGCTGTGCTTCCCTAGCAAGTTAGCTACAGTCCGAGCACACAGGCAGGGGAACAAGGACGACTGAAAACGTGGACCTTACTTCACCAGCTCTCTCAGCGCCTTGACAAAACTGAGTGTCCAAGTGCAGATAGGCGGGATGGTTTTGTGCCTCTCGCCCCCACGGCCAGTTCTCCTCTGAGAACTTAATTTTGAGGGCTCAGTGATGCCCGTGCTTTGGGCTTCTACTCGGTGGCCTGTGCTGACCCAGGGCTCAGATCTGCAAGCCCATGACCCTGCTGCCTCTTGCCAACAAAGGGTTAAAACTGTGTTTATCAACATCTAATACAATGGCTCTGATTTGACATAAATCATCCCAGACTTGATTCAAATGAATACATTATTCTAGGTTAATCATTTTTCATTCAAATGTTTATATTCCATCTACCCTGAACAATGAATTGAGAAAAAACAGGCACCTCCAAAACCTTCCCAAGAACAATGACTTTTTCAAATGACATTTTCTGTACAAACAAATGACACGGTGACTGTGGCAGGAGGGTGGGTGAGCCCCTCAAGGGGTGGTTTTCTTCAAGTCCCGGATCTGTTTAATCAGGTAGTTCTTCTCATCGGTGAACTGCTCATCGTCCGTCCTTTCCTTTTGGAAGCTGCTCAGAAACTCAATGAGTTTGGGTTGATTTTTTAATAGAATCTCCACGATAGGCTGTGTTTTGTGAGGACTGGCCACGAACACCTGAAACGTAAAGAAACACCTCGGACAAGGAACGCACAGCAGCCACAACGTAGACCCCACTCGGGGTCCTCGTGCTACTTGTGTTAGTAAAATATAGAGGCCCCAGATTATGCTTCCCCACTGAGGGAAGTCAGTAATTCCCCATCCATATGTGTTCTGGGCAGCTAGCCAGGAGCACATTAGAACCATCTACGAACATTTTAAATTTTACTCTGTTTCGATTCCAAATGTCTTAAATGTTGGGGTGCCTGCGTGGCTTGGTGTGTTAAGCATCCAACTCTTGATTTTGGCTCAGGTCATGATCTCATGGTTCCTGGGATTGAGCCCTGTGTTGGGCTCTGTGCTGACGGACGGGAGCCCGCTTGGGATTCTCTCCCTTCCTGTCTCTGCCCCTCCCCTGCATGCATGCGCGCACACACACACACACACACAGTCACTCTCTCTCTCTCTCTCTCTCTCTCTCTCTCTCAAAATAAATATTTTTGTTTTAAAAAGGACCCCCAACTGGTTTACGTTGTTATACAGAATGCCTGACCTTTATACAATACTTATTAGTATGTCAGAAAATCATGTGCTAAAGCCAAATATGTGGTTCCTGTGGTTACCATTTGTTTACAAGGGACTTGCTGTGAAATTTTAGGTAGAAACTGTCTGGCATTTTGTGGCAACTACGTAAATAACTCATAATAGTCTTTCTAAAAAATAAAAAAGATTATATTGGATAAACTAAGCTTCTCTGTCTCAATCCAACATAAATGTGAAACATAGAAGAATTTGCAATCAGGCATCACTGGATTAACTACACTGAATCTCCACACGGTATACCAAAAAACTGCTAACTTTGCGTTCAAGTTTAAAAATTTTTCCTATTTTAATTTTTTATGACTCTTGAACTCTGCTGCCTCTAAAGGTAGCTGCTGCTTAGAGGCAGCTGATGTAACAGTGCACAATCCTTCTGAGACGGCCAGGAACTGAGGGCCCCAGTGCGGCTGGAGATGACCCAGCACCATAAGGAATGCACTTCTTTTTTTAAATGTTTACTTTTGAGAGAGACAGAGTGCAAGCAGGGGAGGGGCAGAGGGAGAGACGGGGACAGAGGATCCGAAGGAGGCTCTGTGCTGACAGCAGAACTCACAAACCATGAGATCATGACCCGAGCCAAAGTCAGACGCTTAACTGACTGAGCCACCCAGGTGCCCCAGGAACACACTTCTAAATCAAGGCACAGTGGGCCAAACCTTCTGAATATTATGACCAGTATAGGCAGTTTCTTGGTTCTCTCTCTGCTGAACCCATTTTTTTAACATGCTATTTTCAAACCATACCCAAACAAGTCAGACAAATGGAACTACCTGTGGCTTCTCTTTTTATAGTGTGGTCTTATTGGCTGTATCCCTGCATTTACACACGTTTCAGAACTGTGATTCATGGAGTTCTCAGGCATGGGTAGAGAAAGGCAAATATCATGACCACAACACAAATATTTTTAACTCAGAAAACTAAGAATACTTTGCTCTCTATTTTAAACCTGAATGCTTTTTTATGAAAGATTAAAAAAAAAAAAAGCATGCCTTATACACACATTCATTCACTGCGTTCAAATTCTATTTTGCCAAGAGGGATTTGCACTAAACAAGGCATTGGAAGGCTAGTATTCTGCTTTGCTAACCTTACTGTCTGAGAGGCATGCTGGAAGCCCTGGGTGCTTCGTACGTGGATTTGAAACTGGGGCTCCTGTTACAGTTACATGGAAGTAATTCAAAGCTAAATTCCATTCCAGTGAAGTATAAAATAAGGCCTCTTCATTCTAAAGGCTCCCCACTTCAGGTGAATACAAATCTGAGCGATATCATATTTAGAATATTTTGACACAATACCTGTCATTATTGATCAAAGACAGTAACTTTTTTCCTATTTAAGAAAGAAGGACCCGATCCCTGCCTCTGCAAGCTGGCTGATGTCTGTGTGCACCAGTGAGCCCACAGCTGGACCAGACGGGGCCCTACCACCTGTGCGGGGAGAAACAAAACCCTGGGAGGAAGAGAGCAGGTTGGAAGTTCAGGATGCTTAAAACTCTGCAGATTCTCCTGAAATCATCCCCCTCACTGCCACTGTCCTTATCATCATTCTGATTATGAAAGTGATACGTGTGGAAAACCAGGAAAACAAAGAAAAAGAAAGACACAAAGAAGAAAGGAAAAAAAAAAAAACCTCTTAAATAATTTCTCCACCTAAAGATACCACTGTGAATATCTGGTGTACATCCTTCCAGCATTTCTTTCTGTGCATATAGGTATAAATATATTTTAGACAAAACTGGGCTTGCATTCTATACATGGTGGTTTGTAAACTGCTTCCTCATTTACTATGTTTTTAATATTTACAGCTTCTTCTTACAATGAAGTGAGCCAATCACCATTTAAGGTACGGTCAAGGCTACAATAAGAGATGTTGTTGTTCTCACAACTGCTTTGGGATTTTGGAATCCAAGTCTTTGGGATTTACAAATTGCACACAACTGTGGAAATTATGTAAGAAGCTATATACTTATTCCAAAACTACATGGAAAAGCAACTTTAAAAAATTTCTTATTTTAATAATATTCACATTTCCTTATAAATATCACTAGTCTTCATTTTCCTTATATACTATCACAACTGTATTTGTTAAAGTAGGTAATAATATTATAAATACTCAGCGCCAGGATTATCACAATGAGACATGAGTAGTATGTTTGGTGATATTGGTAAAGTTGGTCACAAATACCCTTTATAAACCTTTCTATAAACAAACATAGAAGGGACTATTTTATGAATTTTTAAAGAGAGTCTCTTAAAAAGTAGAAAAGAGAGGTGAGGTCTTAATTACAGCTTTTCACTTTTTCTCTCCACAACTTGGTTAAATAAGCAAAAAGGGCACATTGAGTTCAGATGAAGACATGATAAAGTTGAGCATTCTGCACTATTTAAAATAGTTGATGGGGGCGTATGGATGGCTCAGTCAGTTAAGCGTTGGACTCTTGATTTCAGCTCAAGTCATGATCTCCCAGGATCGAGTCCCATGTCACGCTCTGCACTGACAGTGTGCAGCCTGCTAGAGATTTTCTCTCCCTCTCTCTGTCCCTCTCCAGCTCTCTCTCTCTTTCTCTCTTTTACGATAAATAAAAATTAAAAAAATTTAAAGTAGTTGATGAAACATTAAGTTGAAATAAGCATTTTTTACTGTACTGTTAACATTTTTAGAAAAATTATTAATATTACATCAGCTCATAGCTGATTCCTAAATTTACTCGGCTGAATTGTTTCCTCCATCAGTAGACTTAGATTTGGCACGTCAAGACCAGAGTGGTTGGCCTGCTAAAAAGAACAGGTCCTGAAGGAAGTAGGTAATTCATGGTCAGGCTTTCACCAAATTAATCTGCAATTCTGCCTTATTTTCAGTAAGACCACATGGAAAGGATTTCTCAACTAGGATATTTCTTGTTCTCTGTACTTTTTTTAGGTGAATTGTCAAGCTGGCCGTTGTATTTTGGAAGAAGTGAGGGTGGAGCTTCTTGTTTTCATGGAAATAGCAATGGCAGCCACTGCTAGGATCTGAGTGACAGAGTAATACACTCAGGAACATTTTCGTCACTGGCCATGCCTGAGTTCCAGCTGTTCTAAGAAGTGGGCCAAAAGGTACAGACCACCCCCATCCCCTACCCGGTTTGGTGGGAAGTAGTATCATGGTCCTTTGCTATAAAGGAAATTAACGGGGAAAGGAAAGGGAGCCAACTCATAGCTGATTCCTAAGTTCACACTGGGCACCCCTCTGGGACAGCCAGAATCACGAGACAAAGGTCTGAACCGAGTAACAGACTACTGACTAGACTACTGACATGAATTCAACGCTTGCATTCGGCAAGTGAGGAATCAGATCCGGATGGATTTGCCCAAAGTCACTGGTGGCAATTAAGCCAGAACAAAGACCCAGGTCTCTTGACTTCCATCCAGCACTTCCCCACCATACCATCCTGCTGGTCAACAACAGAAAAAACATGACATGGCATCTCATTCACTTCTCTGAACTTAGCAGCAAGCTAATGAAAATAATCTAGTAAAGATATTTTAGTAGTAGTGTGTTAAACATTTTCTGCCCCTTATGGAAGGTGTTTTGGGGGAAAAAACTATTAACACAGAACTGTGAAAAAAAAAAACACTCTCGGACTCTGCTGTTGCTTTTTCTAAATAACAAAATATTATACTTGGCAAGTGAACAATTCAGTTCTTACTTCAGTGGAGGAAACACAGGGTACGGGGTAGGCACATAGAAGTAAAGAAGTGGTCAGCTATTTTTAAATGCACCCACTCTGTCCAATGATTAGATGATCCAAATTCTGAGGACAGAAGTAGGTTATTTCTCTTTGGCCACCCACTGAATACTTCCATAATCCTGCATTTTTGAACAAAATTTTATGTGGCTTGTTCTCATCTAAGATGATGTTAAAATTCCACAGGAGCTGGATGACAGGATACATGGCCTCCTACAATTTCTTCAGCCAGGAGGGTCTTGAGAGGGTCTATCATTTATACTGTGTAGGCAGCTTCCAGTGCTACAGCAGTCTATTTGTGCCTCTTCTGATTTGCATTTACTTTTTTATGAAATAATTCTGACATAGAAAAAGAGTACAATAATAACACATCAGATGTCACATTCCCATGAGCTGCTCTATCAAAATCTAAGATTTTTGGCTTTATGGAATAAAGAATTGGGGAGGAAGATGGCAGCGTAGGAGGAGGCTGGGCTCACCGCGCGTCCTGCTGATCACTTAGATTCCACCTACACCTGCCTAAATAACCCAGAAAACTGCCAGAAGACTAGCAGAACGGAGTCTCCAGAGCCAAGCGCAGACGAGAGGCCCACGGAAGAGGGTAGGAAGGGCGGCAAGGCGGTGCGCGCTCCATGGACTGGCGGGAGGGAGCCGGGGCGGAGGGGCGGCCCGCCAGCCAAGCAGAGACCCT